CAACCTCAGAAGCCCCCCTTTCATTTTTTGTGACAAATTATAAGCGGAAAGTTTAGCTAGTCTTTTTTTGCTACGTTCTTTTTATATACAAGAGAACAGCACCATTGCTACTGCATATGAATAGAAATCAAATGACTTTGGTGTATCGCAATGTTATGGATTTTAATTTTCATGTATCGCTAACTCCTTTAAGTGTAGCCAACATGTTATAAGATTATAAATAAAAGTCTTAAAAATGAAATTGATCAGTAACACAAGAAGTGTACGGAGAACGGTGTGCAGAATGTGAATGCCACCATTAAGGTTAAAGAGGTCAACGGCAATATTAATATTTCTTCAGCGATGCACATGGACCACGATACATAATATAGTAAAAATATATTTATGCACTTGCTATTGCAGAAGCAATGGACATATACAATTTGATTTCTTACCATAGACCATCTTCCACATCCTGTCAACAAGGGCTTGGCACTGTCTCTCCCAACTGAATCTTTCATCATAACTTCTTCGCAGTCTTTGGATTTCCTCAAGCCGCTGTGTCCTTGATTTTTGACGGATGGCTGCAATTGCTTTTGCCCATTCTTTAGGGTCATCAGAGTCGATCACAAATGACTCACCCATTGGAAGTTTACGCAGTGTTTTTCCAAATCCGGAGTTTCCACTAACCAGAATGGGAAGACCAGCTGACATGGCCTCCAATGCTGTCAAACCAAACCCCTCAGTTCTTGATGGCATGATGGCCACATCGACAGCACAAAACAATTCTCTCAATTTTTGTTTGTCTTTCACAAATGATTTCACAATCAACTGGTTCTTTGAAATGCCAGTCTGGAGTAAGATTTCTGCGACTTCATCCTGCCTTCCCTTGGATGCACCAACGAAAATCAGAATATAGGAACTGTCCTTCAGTTCAACTATGGATTTAGCGTTAATGTCGTATCCTTTAAGACGAAAGTCTTCCAAATCACCGCGACCGAAGCTCAATACTCTGAAATTTACACCATCATGTGCAGCATGTTTAATATCTGAAAACTCTGAAAAGGAACCTGGTATTAGTTGAAAGATATCTTGATGATATAAACGCAACTTGCACGAGAACGCTTCTTTTAACTTAGGTCCAACGGCTACAACGAGGTCTGCATTTTGACACAGTTCAACTTCAGCTGTGTTCTTCTCTTCTCCCTTGGCAATGGCACTTGGATAGTTCTTATGCATCGCCAGCTCTTCAGGCTCAGTGTGAACAACCTGCACCCAATTGCATTGATGAGATTTTCTGATAATTTGCACTTGTTTGCCAAGCTTTGCTCCATGGCCGATCACAACCTGAATGTCAAGGTCCTCAGGTGGAACGATCAACCAATCAAGAGGATCACTAAAGCCAGGAAGATGCCCTGCTTCTATAATGGAGATGTTGTAACTTTTGGCCTCTCTCTTGTCTTTTTCTCCACACTCAAATTCAGGTACAAGAATGGTCACTTCTACGTGTGGGTCTTTTGCCAAATGTATGGCAAGAGTTCTGTTTATTGTTGACAAACCCCCCCTAGACGACCCCCATTCGTTCGCCAGGAGAGTAACTTTCAATATTAAACGTTCTGAATGACCTTGTTCAGCATCAGATGATGATGATGATGGTGGTGGTGATGATGGAGTACACAAGTCCTGTACAGAAACCAAAAATGGAAATTTTAAAATAGAAAGCGTACACCTGGGGTGTTTACCGCTTTGAAAGAAAGTTTGCAAAACATGTTATCATCCAGTTAGAAGCTATAAACTTATCGTTTGACTGTAAAGCAAACAGCTTGTTAAGAAAGACTTGAGAAACGGTTATGAATACCCACTGCTACGGCTGCAGTAGGTATTTAACAACAGAGTTGATGATGTTAATTGGCCATTGTAAAGAGATTCTCAGTTCAAGGGTAGCCATTTGACTGGCAAAGTGCTAAAAGAATGTGAATAGAATTTTGAGTCATATATGGTAACCAACTGCCCTTATCAAATTACTTGATTTTAAGAACTATTGCTTGCTTCTTTTTACCCAGCGAGAAACTTGTGGTAGGTTAAATGAAGGCCTACGTTATACATCATTATAATCTAATAATGACACACACAAACTTTGTTGAAGCTTTTTAAGTATAAATAAATGACTAGCCTTTCAGTAGCATAATATCAATTTAGTAGTAATATGCCGTAAAAGTCCGAAAATACGCCCCCAGGCTTATATTTTTTCAAAGGCCCTTTTTGAGGAGCTTATATACGGAGGGAAATGGGAGGGACATTTGCGTCTCAAAATCGACAGGGCTAGATTAGAGTTGGAAAAAAAATTATGTCAGTAATTTGGACGAAGGTTTGACTGAAACTCGCCATGGGGACCTAGGTCTTTCTAAAACTCTGCCATGCGAGTACTTTGGCTATATGGATCGAAGAAATTCAAGCCAAGAGTGAAGAGTGAACTACGCAAACAGCATTACACTCTGACACTTCTTGATTGCAATCATTTGGCACAAGGAATAGTTCTTTGGCAAATTACAAACATTATGTGTTACTGTACCGTCTTTGATTTGTTTTATTTTGTTTTGAGGGCAATTTCAAAGTACAAGCCCCGGGGGGCTTATATTCGGGTGCGGCGATTTAATGGGGGTGTTTAACTACGAAATTGGGGGATTATATTTGGAGGGGCTTATACATGGAGGGGCGTATTTTCGGAATTTTACGTTAACATTCCATTTATATGTAACATGCTAACAGCACTGATAGAGATGGGATTTCAGTGCTACCTACCTTACTTGGTGTCTGTGAGAACCATTTTTGCTTTCCTGGGACTGTGAGTACTTCATCTGTAGGTTTCTTTTTGCAAATCAGATGAACGCCTTGTCTTAACTCAAGAAGGTGAAGACAATCTTCATGAGAACATGCAATCTGATTATGGCTTGAACATTTTTCCCGCTGACAATACGGACAGGCGACCCGAATATGATACTGCAATCCACCTTTATAGAGATCACGTGACAAAGCTTCCAAAGTTGCCTCCACAAACTCACGAACCTGTACTGCCATCTCACTTGTCTCATCCACAGGGATCTGCTGAGGGTGGTTTCTTTGCTTGATAAAGAACTTAATAAACTGCTTCTTACAAATAAGAACAAAATCATGGACAGTTTGTTTCCCAATAACAAACCACGCTCCATTTTGGTACAGGGTAGGGGGCTGAGTTGGACCAGCTTCAGAACACCAACGGACAGATCGAGAAACAAGCCGAGTGAACAGACCATGGGGAACAGAACCGCTGACAAAGTAAACAAACAGGGGACAAGGGTCCAGCCTTGTAGGCGCCATGGAACAAAGGGAATCAGGCGAAGCTTTGAGTTGAGATGGAACAAAATACTTTTCACCTGTCTTTAAAGACGAAAATTTTGCAATCAATCCAAATAGTTCCATCAAATCAAGAATGTCTTTCCTGGCAACACCCTTCAGGAGAAAGTTGGAAAACACAAGATCAACCAGTTCCATGGAGAGAACACCGCTTTCTTCTACTTCCTTCCAATGCTTGGCAACCGTAGGAACCTAAGACGGAGATATTTTGGGAGAATTTTGAGCCAGTTAATTAATGCACTTGTAAATTGTTGGTTATTTTATTTAAAATTTTAATTAACAAACAAAGAAAAAGATCTAGAGTTTTCCGTTTTTGTGTGGGGACACTCCTCGCGTGCATCAGTTAGGGCGGAGAAAAGTCAGGTTTCCTTTCTATATACAATATGTTTTTTCACTCTGATTGGTCGTCCGATTCCTTTGAGCCTACATAAAAAGTAAATTGCAGGTAAATTGGTTATAAGCTCCTCTTAATGTTCGCGGGTACCTCGTGACGTCACCTGATGTCCTTCGAAATTGAAACAAGAATCCTCTTGGGATATTACAACGTTCAAATAAGAAAGTGCAGTGAAAATGTTTCATTGTAATGTTTACTCTTAGTGACGTCAGTATAGCGGGTTGATTACAGGGACGACTGCTGACCAGGCGTCAGTACTAATTCAGTTGTTATAGGCTTGTTATAAGGTTTCATTTCAGAATTACATCGCCTACCCTAACTGTTTTACACTGGGAGAATATTAAATAGCAGCCCAATCCACTACGATTTTGCTGTTTACAAATACTTGAGGAACAGTTAACATTTTTTAAAAAGATAGCGGGCAATGTACTTGATATAATTATTTTTATTAGCTACAGTACGGTTGGAAACCTGTGATGTCATCCAAAATGTGGACTACTATAAACTTCGCAAGTTTTAAAACACGTTTAAAATCCATTTCTTACCATTTCCTCAAAATCTGGAATAGTGATCAGCTGCCCGAACAAGTTTATCAGCCACTGGGTACTCAAGATGACTGTGCTACGGTGCTTGATAACTACCCCCAGGTCATGATAGAAATTCACCATGGTGGTAAACTCTTTCTCATCATGGATGAAGCACTTCTCCTTGGCATGGGTCCGTAGCTTCTTTATACTCAGGTAATAAACTGGCTTGGATAGCAAAGCGTTGATGACTCTCTCAAAGTTCAGCCAGCTAGTTTACAAAACCAAAGAGAAAATTGATAGCTAGCTTTCAAGTATCCATGTCACAAATACACAGTATACCTGTACTGATTAAAGTACAGGGCCCAGTTGTGCGAAAGGTGGATAAATCTTTTCACTGGATAAGTATGTCCAAAATCCAGTGTAAAGTGCCATTAGGTTTACTGATATTTTCCAGCTTAATAGTGATTCATCGTTTGAACAACCGGGGCCAGAAGCATACACACGTTCCAAAACATGACTGCTGACATGTGAAAAGCCGTGAAGATTTTTTTATTAGTTAGTATTGATGGTCTTTCTAAACTTGAAATGAAATAAATATAAGCTTAAATAAGTTTAACTAATACAGCTGAGCATGTTCTTAAATGGTCACCCTGTGCAGTTACGCAGTTTACTACAGAGTGATTACTTTACCTTTTTAAAACGAACAT